ATAAGAAGTATGTCAATGTCCCTGAGGGCCTTGAATAGTGAATGTTTGTAGTTTTTGAGATTACTCCAACATTTTTCAGTCAGGTCATCTGGACAGTTTTGTTTTTTTGTGCTGAAACGTTTCACCTTCGGCAGCACGGTGGCGCAACTGGTAGAGCTGCTGCCTCTCAGCGAGCAGGTCCCTGGTTCAAACCCCGGTCCAGGGGCCTTTCTGGGTGGAGTTTGCATGTTCTCTCCATGCATGCGTGGCTTTTCTCCGGGTACTCCGGTTTCCTCCCACAGACCAAAAACATGCATGTTAGGCTGATTGGTAACTCTAAATTGTCCCTAGGTGTGAGTGAGAGAGTGAATGGTTGTTTGTCTCGTTTGTCTCTATGTGGCCCTGTGATGGACTTGCGACCCGTCCAGGGTGTACCCCGCCCCTCACACAGTGATTGCTGGACATGGGCACCGGCGACCCCCGTGACCCAAAATGGAACAAGCGGGTAAAGAAAATGGATGGATGGACGTTTCACCTTCCATCCAGAAGGCTTCATCAGTTAAGGAAATGCACAACAAAAGTGATTCTTCCCCCAACAGCTTACTCCAAAGTGGAACAAACCAGTTCTGCTTGTGATAAGATGGTCTCTTTGGTATGGTCTCTTATCACAAGCAGAACTGGTTTGTTCCACTTTGGAGTAAGTTGTTGGGGGAAGAATCAGTTTTGTGTTGTGTGTTTCCTCGACTGATGAAGCCTTCCGGCTCAAAGGCAAAACGTTTCAGAAACAAAAAAAGAAACTGTCCAGCTGACCTGACTGAAAAATGTTGGATGGTATACCTGGATTATTGAGCATGGACTTTGTTGTTTTGAGATGACTGTTTTTCTGTCAGAAACTGGTTTGTTCTTTAGTCTCTGGTGGTTGGACTTTGTTGTATGGATAACAATGTTGCTGTTTTTCTATTCCAGCAGCCACATTTGGTTTTTTCCCTCTAAAATGGCACAATGTTTGAGTGTTGGGCAAAAATAAAGGAAAGCAGTTGTTTTTAAATAAACCCGTGTTGTTCCCCTCGTCCTCTGAGCCCTGCATCCCCTGGCCACAGCGGGCCAAACGAGATTTGCGCCACCGCCTCAACGGAGGATTTATAGACGGCTTCCATAATGCACTTTCTCCCTACAAAGAGGTAGCATAAATCTGCCTGTTTTTGTCACTTCCTTTTTTTATTTGCTAATGGGAACCTCAAAAGGCCTGCCGGCTCTCTTTATCTCGTCCCCACATTCACAAAAGCTCTGCCCTGGACGTCACGTAGCACGTACCAACGCCCCATATAGACGGGGATAAATTATGGGGCCTGTCTCAATCCATCCTGAAACTTTACGAGGAGACGTCAGAGCCGCTGTGGCTCGCTCCCAACAGGGCTCCTCAAAAGGCCCAATGATACACTCCGGCTGTTTGCATGCTTTAGACTTGGAATAAAATATAAAATGTGATTGTCTGGATATAATAAAGCGACAAAAAAAAAAAGTTCACCAACAAAGAGTCGCACGGTGGAAAGCTGAATTAAAATACACAGCGCTGGTAATGAGCTATCTAAATTCAGAGTTCATATTGCTTGGAATTACACAAAAGCAGGGCTCCGGGCAGTTCTGGAAAAATAAAAATAAACTTTACAGCTCTTTCTGCTTGGCTGCCAGAGGATTCTCCCTGTCACGCGGCGACACAGTTGGTTCCAGGGAAATCGTTTGAGCTGCTGCATGTATCTGTGAATGCAATAAGTCCTTTGTAAACGACATCACCTCCTCGCCCATTTCGGCACACTTGGCGGCTGTCAACACGTTGGATGCACTCTATCACTCACACCCATACAGAGGGATGCTAAAGCTCTGATTACTGACAACACATTCCCAGGGGTGGAACACACACATCCACACACACACGTGCATGCTCAGTTAGCAGGGGAGGGGGGGGTCCTGGGTGATTGAAGAAACTTTCACATTCACCCTTTCCTGGAGAGAGATGGTGGCTAAACGGGAGCGGTGGCGGCGCGTCAAAGTTATCTGGGAAAGAGCTTCACGTGTTCTTGGCACAAACGGAGGCAGAATCTGCCCCGAGCATGACATAAAGCTGCTGTTTAAAAACTGAAAGGCAGAAACGGGATAAGAAGTGGAGGATGCCACGTGTTTTCATCAGCAGGGACAAGGAGTGAGGAGGGGCTGGTTTTATCAGCAGATGAACTTTGCAGACGACTGACTTGTATTTTTTGCCTGAGTTTAGTTGCCATGTACAGTGGCCCCGGGGAATCAATTAGAACGCGGCGCGCCGGGTTTTTCCACCTTCGCTGGCTCGGCAGTAATTTGTTTACTTCACAGTGAAGCTCTGGATGGGAAATAAATAAATAAAAAACTTCATCAAAATGAAATATTCTGCTATATCAGGTTTGCATATACTTGTTAACTGCACACATTTCCTAACAGGTAGTTTCTCTCTGAGCGCGGCACAACATCCTGTTGTTGTTTGTAAGTGCACGCAAGGCGACACTCTGACCCCTCGGCTGAGGTCAGAGCCTGACGCAGGTCTATTAGCATATGTTTTCTTTCCACAGGCGCAGTAAAGGCTGCTGCTGCCGCCAGCCAAGCAGCAGGGAGGCTCGCTGCTGTGTCAGGAGGCGAGGAGGATGAACAGCTCATCGCAGCTACACAGTCTCCCAGCTGCCAGACGAAACTGACAGGTGTCACCTTGTTATTTCACAGCGTAAGAGCCCGCCCGGGTCCGCGGGGAGTTGATTAGCGCAAACCTGTTGCCACATTTCCCAGCTTACTCACGGCACACGCCACTCTCACAGGAGGATCGAGCAAGACCCGCTGCAGCAGGGGGGCCAGTCGGCTGTGGGGAAACTGGGATTCTAAAATTAGTTCGGCAGTGAAGCAGGAAAGTGCCAACAGTGAGGCGCACATGTGTGACATCTGGGCGTTGTTATTCTGCTGTACATCTGTGACTACGGAGAACACTTGGCACATTTTTAGAAAATTGTATGAAGTGTAAATGAGACTGATGTGTATAACTTGAGATATTAGGCACCTTCCTTAACGGTAGTCATTGCAAGAATTAACTTCAAGCATAAACATTTTGTTCTGAACTATATCAAACGGTCCAGTTTGAAAGAGTAAACGCCAGTTTCCATGTGCAATGTTGTAATCTGGACAACTTTGACCACTTCACTACTACAATGAGAGTGCACTAAGTGTCTGACTGAATGTGCCACAAACCATGTGGAAGCTTGAGTTACTGTAAGTAAATACATTTGGTGGAATCAGACAAAGTGTAGGAACTTGGAGATGTTCAGGTGAAAATACAAGAGAATCTGCTAAACATGAAATAAACAGACGATAAAGTAAGACAATGGTCAAAAATACATTTCTAAATCAAGCAGAGCAATGGAACGCCATGAAGACGGAGCTCGACATTCAAACGCTCAACTTTTACAAAACTTCTACTAGAGCGGTAAGTTTAAATGGACTGTACTTATATAGCACTGTTCTATCTTATCAAGATACTCAAAGCTCTTTAAAACACAATCTGTGCTCTCATTTACCCATTCATACAGAACTCTACTAGATCTACACAAAGAATAATCAGTGCTTTATCACGTTCATACACTTTGTATTGTTTGGACATTGTTGGACTTTATAATCCCAAGGGCTCGTCCAAGAACGTAGCCACTATGACAGATTTACCACAGGT